TGTATCTGACACTGATTTAATTTCTCTAAGCAAGTTGTTGGGCCTGTAAGCAGGAAGATTATTGATCTACTCCCCAGGTGGAAGGGCTGCTCAGTACCACTCAAAGAAGTGACAATACTAGTCATGTTTATGCAGGGAAAGGGAGAGAAGAATATGGCATTCTTAAAATTGCTTGGTAAGTAATTTTTATGAATTATTATTTAATTAGTTGCTATTGTTCTTGGAAGATATTTATCAGGCATGAGCTGGGCCTTTTGAAGAACTGTATTTTCAGTTGGCGTTGATGCTCTGTAACTACCTTTGAAGTCAGATAGGCAACTTAAATGCAGGCATTTATGGATCATCTTCTCCTTCAGTTCTGATGTTCAACTGATTTTTTTTTCTAACTAAATGGTATTAAAAGGGTAGAGTAAGTTTGGTTTTGGTCAAGGAAGAAAGCGAGTACACGGGATAGTAAGGTGTGGAAAGGGGGGATATTTTGTAAGAACATACTCTGTGATTGGATACGTTAGTCTAGGATATGTAACAAATTGTATGATCACCAGGTACTTGCTTATAAGCATTTGTTTTTTTCTTTGACACGAGTTCTGCCCGGTCCCTTGTAGGATCCAGTTTAGAAGGTGCAGTAAACCCCCAAGCATCAGCATGGCTGCCCTCGACTTCAGCAGAACGTGAACATTCTCTGTCATGCGTGGTAACTCCTCAAGATGGGTGGGTTCACTTTGTAACAATAGATAGTTGTGTTTTCAGAGCAGTGATAGGAATGAGGCAGTAGTGGTTAAGGCAGTCTTCAGTGCCTTCAAAGAAGGGTTGAGTCTTGACTGTCCCTTTGTAATAATTTTGGGCAACTTACTTGACTTTTTTAATCTACATATTTTCTCACCTGTAAAATGAGAATGTCTCATAGAACTGCTGTGAAAATTTGATTAGACAATGCATGTAAAGTACTTGGGAAGTAAATGTTCAGCAAATGTTGCTATTATTATTGCTCAATCCAAGTTCTAAGTCCTTTTTCTGTTATTGGCTTATTGCTTTCTTTTACCCCAACTTTTTATCTCTATGAGGAATTATGCTATCTTTTTGCATTTATCATTTTGGGATCATTGATTACCCTTCAAATAAATTGTTGAGATCTATTCTGTTTTATAACAGTATTTCTAAAATCAGACTTTTTTCAATGCCTTAAATCAGTTTTGCAAATAAAAAACTCAAGTTTGAAGCCCTATATTTTCTTTTATTAATTCCTACTCTTCTGCTAAAAGCTGAATGACTATCCATTTCTGTTATTTTCTCAGCATAAGATGTGCCATCTCCAGAGCCAGTGGCTCTTTGCTAGCTTGTGTATTGTCACTTTTCTCACAACTCATGGAGACCTCTACAGCACCAGCATTTCCTGGAAGCTCTGCCCATAATTAGTTTTGCAGAAGTGCAGCCATGTTACATCACTGCTCAGGAGATCATGCAGTTGCACATTCTATACTCTGCTTTTATGAGAGAAAAGCACATGGCAGGAAGGCAAGCTGATATCAGGTATTTTATTTTTTTAAAGAAAGCAAGTTCCAAGGTATATCTTGGGGTCATTATAGACGTGGCCCAATGCAATATATCTGCAACTATCGCACAAGCTATAATTAATTACATAGACTTTAGGAAACATTCCATTCATAAGAGTTGAAGGAAATAAAATTTAACACATTACTTATCTTTTTATTCTTATTAAAAGCATTTAGTTTTGTTAGGAGATGCTAATGGTTGCAAATGTCACCTCTATACAAGTAGTTTCCAATTTGAGGTTGTAGTTGTTTGCAAAAGTATATCTAACAGGTATTTTAAATATCTTTTCTAATAGGAATACATTATAAAGGAAAACTGATTTTAATTACAGTGTACCTGTGGTACTTAACTAAAAGGATTGGGACTGTTGGCCTCAATTTTTCCATCTGTTGGATATAAGCTGAATCAGAATTTAGTTCTAAGCTAATATTTGGCTAGCATCCCTGGCCTAGAACTGGCTCTAGTAGGGGACCGGAGGGTTGGTCAAGGGTGAAGATAGAGGCCAGGTGGAAGAGGAAAGGATGAAGGTAGAAACCAGAATTAGAATCTCCTTCAAATATAAACTTCTGGGGATACTTCTTGGTTCTGAGCAGCTCCCTCATCACACTGTTTTCTTTTGTTGCCCTCAGGAATCAGCTTGCTTGTTTTCCTTTTCATTGCTATCACCTGTAGTTTCCAGTGAGTTTTTTCACCTTCCCTGATTTCTGCAGAACAGATTACTTTTCTATCTTTTCCCTTTATGTTTGTGTCTGTGAAGTAAGCATGCTGGTGTTTTTACTACTTGTAAGGAAAGGGAAATATTCCAGGAACAAAAATAGGTCTTTCATCTTATCTATACCACAAGGATATTTTTCTCCCAGTTAGCACTTGCAGAGGGGAAAAAAGTTGTACCTAAGTGCCACTTACATTTGAGAGGAAAATCAGATTGGAGTTACAGTGGACTTCTTATCATTAGAGTTAGGCAGAGGCAGCAGTTTGGAAATAGGACTCTGCCTCTGGGGGGAGGAATGAGGAAACTGAAGACTACAGGAATTAGCTGCATTGGTGTGCTGGTTGCAGGAAGGGCAGTGATCATCCTGACTTAGAAGAACAGAAAGTAGAGGAAATTCATATGCCCCTTTGCAGAATTTGAGAAGGCTTTGTTCTTTCCTCTCACAGGGAGACTTTAGCACAAATGATAGAAGAAAATTTGAACTGTCTTGGCCATTTAAGCACTATTATTCGTGAAGCAAATGAGGACTGCAGCAGTAGTATGATGGTGAGTTTTGTGTGGATAATGAGTATGTATTTTAGATATGTTGGGTGCAAAGGGTTTAACTTTCCATGCTAGCCTTATCTGGCATCTGGGATACAGATAGGGAATAGAACTCAGAGGAAAGAGCATTTGAGGAATATTCTCAACCTCAAATCCCTATCTTCTGTTACTCAGGGGTATGTCATCAGTAATCTTCAACAATAACATTTTTGGTCATATTAAATGAGTAGAAGCTTTCTTCACAATATGACCACTGAAATTGAATGGTCCGTACCTTTATGCTTCAGCAATCAATTATCTCCAATAAGATGGGACTTTTAATACTTTAATTCTTATATAGTACTTGCTGCATTATAAATAGTAACAATAATAAAGTGCTTATATTAAGATTTGGTTACTATAAACTATTGATTTGTTAAAATTTGGAGAAATCAATAAAATGTTTACTGAATTAACTTTTACTGCATTTAGTCTCAATGTCAATTCTGTATATTTCTTCTTTGAATAAGAGTAATAGCATCTGGGCACTGTTGAGCACACCTGTAGTCCCAGCTACGTGGGAGTCTGGGGCAGTAGGATTGCTTGAGCCCAGGATTTTAAGGCTGCAGTGTGACTAGCCACTGCACTCTAGCCTGGGCAACATGGCAAGACCCCTGTCTCTTAAAAAAAGAAGAAGAAGAATCTGCTTCAAATATTTATGAAAACTCTTTGAAATATTTTTTTGAAATTACCAGAAAATAAGGTGAACTAAACTCTCTAATTGTAATGGTTATTATTTTTGATTTTTTAACTTTTGATTATAAAATGTCCAAACATGCAGGAAACTTGCAAAAATGAACACCTGTATATGTATTACTTAAAGTCAACATCTAATTGTAACTTTTTCATACCTGGTTTTAGAGTCTTGATTGGAGTTGGTTAACAGAATGACTTGCCACTTGTTCAGTGTCCCCAAATTGATGGAAGTTGTTGTTGCACATGTTGGAATTTGTTTTTTCCCCCTGAAACCATTCTTCAGACACCAGTGAGTGGAAGAACTGGCTGTGATCAGAAACTGCATTTCTACTATGATCATAAAAATGATTTTACAAGCGCAGTATTTTTATTCTGAGTAATTTTAGCCTCTGAACAGATAGGATTTTATAAAAAGTCAATGAACTTGTATAAATAATTGTTTTAATACCACAGCTACTTTGGAACATCATTGTTGTTACTCATTTATCTTCAAAGAACAAAAAATACCTTCTAAAATTTTAACTTTGGGGTATAAGGCCTATTATAGTATTGTTGAGAAGAAATCTCAATTAACATACATTTTAAGTAAAAGTTGTCTACTTGTGTTTCTGTGGAAGAGACTGCTCACAAGTAAAGTTGTATTTCTTGAAGAATAAACCCTACCTCCTTGTGTTACACTCAGAAAGTTCTCTTCCTGGCATCATAAGGAGTTGGCTTAATCCCATATTTAATTTTACTGCACATTCATAAACCATGTTAAGTGTGCTATGTGTATATGTATTTAAGATGTACATTTAATAATATCAAAGAGAAGATGCCTGTTAATTTATAATGTATTTGAAAGTGTGTATGTTTCTTCATTTGTAAAAATGAGTCAATTGTTTAATCTTTCATGTCTTGTCATACAAATTTATAAAGATGTACATGCCCTTATCTGTAATTGTAATTCCAAAATCCAAAAAGCTCTGAAAACAAGGTTTTCATAAGCTTACTGACAAAACTCATTTGCTTGTAAATCTAATCTGAACTGACATTGAAATCTATTTATCCCATTTAGTGTGAATATTCATTTATTTTGTTGCAGAAATATTGATGTTTGATGATTGGGGGGAGGGTCGCTAACCCAGACTCTGCTGAGGGTTAATGTAGTATGGTATATGCACTGAATTGCCTTTCTAAAATCTGAATATTTCATAAGTCTGAAACATCGGGCACCCAGGACTGTGGATTGCTATCATTTGTAATTTAGAAGGTATTACTTGTTTTACAAAATGTGAAATGCTTTTATATTCTAGTTTTTCATTTTATGTATTAAATGATTTTTAAATTAACTTTTGAATCTCTATTCATTCTAAAAATCAGATAATAGAACAATTGAATATGGGTTGGGAAAATATGATGGTTCCATGAAGTGGAACTGGAGCACAGAATAACAAATAGGCTCTCCCTGTACTTTTCTCAGGAATTAAACAGGACTTACTGTAAAGTCAGTATTGGGCAACTTCTTTAATATAGTGCTTTCCCCTGAGATGCCCTATCACCAGTATTCATGTGTAAAAAACATGCTCATACCTTGCCCTATAAATTGATGCCAGTCCCCCATCCCCATTTTTGCTAGTGGTGTGATTTTCCCAGTCACCTAAGTTTAAAACCTTGGGATTGTCTTCTATCTTTTGTAGTCATCAGGTACCACTTTCTAAAGATGGTAATTTCATCCCTGTCAGCTGTTATAATAGGCAGTCTCTCTTGCTTCCCTAATTCTAGAAGATTGTGATAATAAACATTTTTATTTTGGGGGTACCTGTTGCTTGGAAGATATTAAGCTAGATGGCAAGATCAGAAAGTTAACAAAGGGCAGTACAATCAAAGTGCTTATCTGGGAGTCTGAACATTGCAGGCGTCCAAGCATTGAAATTTTTGTTAAAGGATTTTTTGTTCAGTGATCATGCATTTTCTAAATATCATTCTAATAATTGGCAAAAGTTTTGCTATAGGGTGGAGGCCATTGATGGTGTGTGGCTGAGGTGAAGTCAGGGCAGCCTGATCTGCATAATTTGAGCAGCTGGTGTGAGTCAGAAGACTATCATAGTGAGATCCCCAAACTTACTTTTGATGCCTAAGTGGACCACTCTATTTTTTCTTGGGTAACAACTTTTCAGAGTGGAATGGCAGTTGTGAATTATATACATTTCATTCTCCAATCTAAACAATATTAAGAAAAACTAAACTAAAATGTATCCAGAAAACATAGGGGCTGGAGTTAAGTTCTTCCTTTTGCTTTAAGTTGAAATAGCTAAGCTCTGCATATATCATTTATCTGGAACAAAGTCCCAGACATTACCAGGTAATAAAAACTTGAATGATACAGGTAAATGCATTTATTGAAGGGAGTGGGTAGAGTGGTCTGCGTAGGCTGGCTTTAATGGTTCTATTTACCTCTTCCCATTTCCACTACTAGGTAACCTTGGGCCTCCAGTTTCCTAACCACTGGCCTCCCTTGCCTTAGGCCTGGGTCCACTGTTAGCCGTTTTGCAGAAGGTTAGAGGATCTTCCCATCCTAGTCTACCTAGTTCAGTTGTGGTTTCAACACTAGCCTTTCAAGGTTTACCTTACTGCCCAACCTACTCTAATATGCTGCCCTTATTTCCCTTGCAGTCATCCATCTCACTCCCACCTCTACTTTTTTTTTTTTTTTTT